TGCGACTTTGTCAAAAAATATTTAAATTGAGAAGGATCATATTAATGCAGAAAAAATACAACAAAAAAATGCACAAATTTGCAGAAATCACACGCCACTACACACACTAAACACAGGCCCACATACACATATTGTGAACTATCTACTAAAGAGCAGAAAAGTGAAAAAGGAAGCAAGCGAAATGGAAGAAATCGAAAAATTCTTGCTTCGAGTATGAGAAAGCAAATCAAATTATAAGAAAATTGCGGCAAACTTTGCCAAAGAAACGTCCGAATGCGGCTCGGAGCGATTTCTGTGCGCCACACTTTTGTGCATTTAAAATGGCTTAAAAGACAAAAGTCGCCGCTGGCTGGACAAGAATTGCGCCAACAAAGGCAGTCGAGAGACAAGCGGCGGCAGCTAAAGCAAGAACAACAGCAGCAGCAGCAGCCGGAACAGTTCAGCAAACAGCATTTGAGTGAATTTCTAATTTTCTACTGCAGTGATTTCGTATGCATAGCACTCAAGTGTGAGGCTCGCTGCTGCCGCTGCTGCTATTTAAAATAATGTCGGTGCTTCGGCTGCAAGCGAAATTGTGTGGGTGGTTTTTTCAAGGGTTGGTGGCGGTCGCAAAAGCACATTGCATGCGACTACTTAACAACCGTTGCAGCGTGGGCAATCGTGCGGTGCAAAACATTTGCTTCAACGGCGCACCGAAGTGTATGCGTTCCACACTAGGTTTTAAGAATTGACTAGAGCTAGAGTTAGAGTGCACCTAGAGACCTGCGTCTACACAGTAAAATTTCTTAGTTAGCGGAAAGCTTTGCAATTTCCAATTAGCTACAGGAATGCATTCTCGCTGATAGAAATTAGATATTTTATGCTTGTTTGAGGTCAGACAAGGCGTGGCAAGAAAATATTTTGCATATCGATGATGAATTGAACTTATGTTGAATGCAATTAATGATTTTTAATTTATATGAGTTAAGTTTACTTAAATTTTTAAACCAAGAAAGCGTTGTTTTCATGTCATATATTATACGAATTAATACTTAGTTATACTTGCTTTATAATTTAAAGAACTTGGATTTTTTTTTTTTTTAGAAACGTAAAACAACCCTTAGTTTATGTTTTTGGGTCTTAATACATAACTTGGGCAAATTTTAAAATTAATAAAATAAATCTTGTGCCCGAGAGAAATTGTTTAATCGTTATCTTAGAGAGTATCAACTAAAGCAACATAATTTAAACTGGTTTTATTGCTTATTTAAATTTTTTTCACATTTCAATATTTTTATATACTGAACAAGGTATACAAACTGACCGATCATGATTAAGATATGTTAAATATCTTTTTATACCCTTTTATGCTATATGAAATGCATCTGAGTAAGGTATTATGGCTTCGGTGTAGACGCAGTTGACGTTTTTCTTGTTGAATAATACTTTTTGCAAAATAGAAATGGATTACAATAATCTTGGAATTTTCCTAACTTGTACTGTATGTATATGATAATCACGCATATTCATTCCGAGATATCTACATTAAAACCGATCTAACTAACACAAATCTTGATATCAGTGCTGTTTGAAGTTACTTACTGACATCCATAATTTTTAACACCAAATGGCTCGAAACTAATTAGAATGCTCTCACTAAATTTAATTGAGATATATGAGGTAAAAACTCAACTAGAAGAACAAAATTCAACTTATTGGATATATGAAGGAAAAGTAACTGTAGACATATTGTAGTTGCCATTATATTAAGGATATAATTTTTGTATTAAGATCTAGACCGACTTCATTCATATTCAGCGTCAAGCCAAATTATATTTATGAAAACATAACCACTTAAATTATTTAAATATTACTCATATTGGTCACAATAAATGGTTTGAGTCGACTGGAAAGACGGTATGAGTCTTGGTCAGCTGTATGAAGGCTAAGAGAAATATTGACAGGATTTTATTGATTTTTGGTATATCTGGTCACATTATAACCAGAAAAAGATACCGTCTTTATTTCTTTGAGATATCTAACAGATTTATCAAGTCAAACGCATTAAATTATATTAGGTATATGGCAGCTAAGGGAAGTTTTAACCTGATTTATTTAATTTTTAACACAAGTGACCATATAATCGGGAAAAGGTGCTCTTTGAAATTCCTTACGGTATCTCACATAGTAACCGATATTTTCGTGAAAAAGTCAGTTAAAGACACTGCGGTGCACATATTTGGTATTTGGAAGCTTGAAAACTTATAGTTCGATTACGAATATTTTCGGATGTGATTATATGATGCAACAAATATGATTGAAATCGGTAGAGCTGTTATTTAGATAAATGTTTTCACCTAAAAGTGGGTGGTGCCACACCCATTGTTCAATCAAATTCCTTCTTCTTCTTCTTACGTGTTTCGTTAGCAGTTATCGTTTTTTAGTAGTTTTCAACTTAACAATTATATGGAGAGTAGGCGCGTTTGTCATACGATTTCACACATTTTCATACTTTCTACGAAAGTTTCAAAGCAATTTTTCTTCAGCAAGTCTGATTGTTACAGCTTTAGTATGTTGTGAGATATGTACACCACACCTAGTAAGAGGCGGGCCACAGCCTCACAAATGCGAGTATCATTAAAGGCTAAAGAAAACCGAACAAGTAGAAATTTATTAATCTCGCGAGTATTAACTTGATAAAGTGCAGAAATATAATTTGCGTAAAAAATAACGGTGATTTAATTTCCTTTAGCCTTGTAAGGTATTTAACTAGTTCTGTTAAAAAAGACTCATACTAGTCTAAGTCTAAGCAGTCTAAGTGCTACATTGTTGTTGTTATTATTATTAAATTCTAATTTCATTTATCTCATAAGTTAACAATCAACTACACCATTACAGTGCAACCAAATTAAATTACAGCCAGACTTAAGCAAATTCACTAAATTTTTCTTCCACATACTGCTGCGGCGCTCCTTTGTTTATACTTAAGGAATTTTCTTTCAGTCCTTAAAAGCATTTTAAAAGCGACGCGCAATAATAACTTCACCACATCCTTATGAACCCTTAGCTGGGTGTATGCGTGTAAGCTGTCGTAGTGAATGGGTGTGTGTGTGTATGAGTAAACAAAAGGCCTTACCACAAAGTCAATTTTGATATTTCTCACTACCGTTAACATTGTGGCGTTCCGCAAGTTACGAAAAAAATAATAACAGCAACAAAGTTGCTGCGAACGAGAAACAGTTCTTAGGGAAATCGTGTGAGAGCGCAGCAAAAGGGAACTGCAACTACAAGTGAGCTTAAGTTTAACTTAAGTGCTCGACACACACACACACACTCAAACAATTCCATATACACATATGCTTATGTAATCGCACTACATTTGCCTCCAAAGCATTTTTGCAACGCTGATATTTTAATGAAGAAAATTAATGTAATCGCTTTAGCGTCTAAAATATTCTTGGTATTTGATGCATCCGTGATGCTTACTTCCCACACACCACATTTGCTTGATGAAATACGCGCGCATTATTTTTGTTATTTTACGCAGGTAAGCAATAACTTAGACCGCGCTACTGAAAAAAGCAAACACATTACGGTAAAATTTTGCAGTACTATTTCTGGAGATAAATGTAGGAAGTGATGATAAAATGTGCTTCAGAGAGCATGAGTTGAACCTCTAATGCGATAACGTGTTGTGTATACGGTTATATAAATAAACATATTTAATTATAAGGTACAATAACGGTTTCTTAAATACAATTTAAAAGCAAGTGCTCTAGTGAAGATACAATAAAAAAGGAAGACAAAGCATAATATAAATGTCTTTTGTAATCGCACAGAAAAGCTTGAAGAGGAGACCAGAAAAAACGTTAACTTTGGCTGCACCAAAGCTAAAATAACCCTCCCAAGTCCATCTTTATAGCACAAAATGATACAATACTTTATCTTAATTTTGATATGTCTGCTTGTAAGGCAGCTATATGCTATAGTCATCCGATCTTAACTATTTTTTTGGAGAATGTAGCGCTAGTTTTATCCATCTGTTTGTATGGAAGCTATAAGCTTTAGTGGTCGGATTTTGGCCGTTCCGACAAATGAGTAGCTTCTTGAGATGCACAGGACGTGCGTGAAATTTTAGATCGATATCTCAAAAACTGATAGTTAGACGGACGGACATCGCTAAATCGACTCAGCTTCTTTAGCTAATAATTTATATATATATATACTCTCCGACGTTTCCTTCTGTTTAGAGTATAAAAACTGACAGCAAAGTTTTTCATTCATATAAGCTGGGGAGCAAAGACCGCCGCAGCCGAGTCGATTGATTGAAGTATATACCGAAAGGATATGTGCTCTGGGCAATCTATTACACAGACAAGACGTTTTGATTTCTTGACAAACATAAGAGGAACTATGCGGTGATATCATATTTCCATGCTTCATTTGCACATCTATTCTCATGCTCCTAATTTGAGTTCAATAGTTTTGTTCTAATGATTTCTGAGAGGTGTAGTTTTTTTCAGACTAAATCGGTAACTGAAGGCAGTTTATCATCTTTGTTTCCATTCTCTTGACTGATTTTTTTTTAGACAACAGCAAATCAAGTCACAAAGACCGAGTTTAGTTAGTTAAATTGGTTAAGTTAACAAGATAAAGAAACAGTGCGCCAAATCGTCGCGCTGGCGTCAGAGAGATAGCAGAGGATCTCAAGATTTCTTACAAATCCACTCAATACATTGTGGTTAATATTTTGGGAATAAAACGTGCCAATCAACTTGAATCTTATGCAAAGACGTCGTCGTGTAAATGTCGCATCTGAGTCAAACAGTCAATAAAGAATTTTAGTTGGTCGATAAGAGACGTCTAAGTGCAGCAACTGGTCGTAAACGACCGGATAAGTGGGCAGAAAATTCATGGATTTATCAGCACTGAACCCATTAAAAGTTATATGCTGAAGGCACTGAAAGCTTTACCAGCTGAAGCTTACAACAGATGAGTAATTTAATTAAGCACTGGCATACTTGTATTGGCTCAAAAGCATTTTTTTCATTACGATATATAAGCTCTTTAAATCGTCGCTTTATTTAAAATACTTCTCTCTCTTCTTTTAAGTTTTAAGCGAGAGCAAATTTTAAAAAACATGCACAAACTTGTTTTTATCTACACAAAGAAACTACGAGGCAATAGGAGCGGCTGAGCTAGCGACAGAAACAGTGCCGTCATCGGCAGCAGAACTAGCTGGGGGAATAGTGCTGGAGGCAGATGCTGTAGTGGAGCCTGGTAAACCACTGATGAAACATGCGTACAACTCCTTATAAGTTTCGGCAGTTTGCGAAGTGTAAGTGTACTGAACGCCGCTGGTGCACGAAGTCTCCTTATCACTGATCGTTTGTAGCCCGCTCTTCAATGAAAGCGCAGCAGTCGAAGCGCTGTCCGAGATCGTATAGATGTCCATAATATCAGCTGAAGACTAATTGTATAGGTGAATAATTAGTTTACAGAGATATATTCACATACAATTACACAAAAACACTTACAGTGGTAACGTAGCAGTTGAAGAAGTCCAGAGTATCATTGTCGCTATTGCAGGTAGTGAATGCATTGCAAATATTGGTGGTCTGATTCACAAAGGCAACGCGGTTCACAGCAGCCGTGGCGGTGAGATTAGTCGCTGCTTGTGTGGCCACAGTGACACATTGCTCATATTGCGCCGAGAAATTCAGGGAGATTTGATTTATGATTGGCATATAGTAATTGAAACACTCGGTGGTGATTGTGGGGTCAGCAGCGCCGCTCATAGCATTCGCCTCAGCCAACATGCGGAGTATGCCATTGTCAGCGTTAGCCTTGACGGCGTGTGCAAGTGGTGTGGCCTGGTAAGTTAGGAAGATTATTGAATAAATAATTATTTACTTACTAACTTGATATTTCACTTACCGCAGCAGCGCCAATTAACGCCAAGCAAAAGCAAGTTAGAGCGACAGTTTGCATGTTGTTAGGTCGTTAGCTCGTACTTTTCGAAAAGTATAACACTAATGAGCTGCCCAAAAATTAAAGTTGTCTTTTATAGCTACAATCTGTGCTCTTGAAGTAATTAACTGATTTTGCAAATCACAAATATTTATGATTGAGTAGTTTATGGGTCATTATCGATTGTTGTTGCAAAGCAATTGTGTTGAAGGCAACATCTATTTTAGGAATTACTCACATGCAACGATCAGCCAAGGGGTCGAAACGTTTATAAAAAAGTCACAAATATGCACGTGGTTTTTAGGAATGACATATTAACTTTTTTCATAAATGCCCTGACGGAATGTCAATGTGTAGAATTATACATAAAGACATTTAAGAGTAGAGAAAAGAAATTTATGTGGTATGGTACTTTTTATATGATCTTATCATTAGCCTTTGTGAATCTGATTTGTAGTCGAATTCTTATAGGTATATAAAATTATGGGAACGACGAAATGTTTAATTGTGATCGTATGTATTCAGAAACACCATTAAATAGAGCAATGTTGCAAGTCAAAATGGTGTAATAATTTTTTTTGTCTATATCAAAGAGATAGCAGAGGATCACAACAGCTCTTATGGTCTTAACACATTTTAGTTAGTATTTTGTTAATGTAGCGTATCAACGTTCGCTTTATCCGTGTTTAGGATTAATTTTTTTAATCCGATATTTACAATTACAAAGTAAATAAAAAATTTAATTCAAATGCTAATTATATTATTTATTAAGGCATTATTTGAAATCCTGGCTACAACCATAACTTACACCGACACACTCGCACTATGCTGATCATGTGTGCGACAACAGAAAGAGTGTAACACAGCCTCTCGATGTGAACTCAATTTCGGTCAACGGAAAATGTTAGAGGAACACTCTTATTTTTTTTTTTACCGATAAAGATCAAGAACTTGTATTTGGAAGATCATTGAGTTCGGCATGTTAGCTCGTAGCTCAACACAGTCCATACCTAAACTCGCAGTCAATACCTTTTATGCGCATATTATCATATCCTTTATACCGCATGCATGAATAATAATAACTACTATGAGCCCTATAACGTTATCTACACAAGTCAGCGGTTTTGAAGTACCAACATATCAACGATAAAGTACCAATTGGACTGTTACAGCTTTCTAGAAATATTCCGAAAAAAAATTATTTTTACTTGTTTTTAAAACCCCTTTGATATGAATTAAATGGAATAATTAAAATTATATGATATATTGGGAATTGGTAGCCTTGGCCCACAGAGAAAAGAAATATGCGATATAAATATATTACGATATCTTGACTTCTCATTGCCCTTATCTCAACTAATTGGTAGCATGTGAACTGTTGTATATAATGTCTTTGATATACTACAAACATATGTACACATATGTAAAACGAAAATACAATAAAACACAGTAAACGTAAGTGTGCATGATAAAAGTATTAAGTGGACTAGCAAATAAAAAGATATGACAAGCTCAAAACTCAATATGTATTAGACAGCTGAAAGTGAACGTGAACATATCACACTTGACAATATTAGATTTATAGCTATAAACAATATTTTGGAAAAGTAACGCTTAGTCAATCTTCAATTAACATTTAATAGCAATTAACGTGACAACTTCATTTTACACAACTGAATAGTAAGAGAATATAAATGTATAGAAATACTGGGTTATTAAACTCTTGCAACATGTTGCTACAGGGTATAATAGTTTTTTTCACCTAACCGTGAAGTTATATATGGTATATATAAATCATTAGGATGACGAGACAAGTTGAAATTCGAATGTCTGTCTGTCTATACAAGCTATAACTTGAGTAAAAATTGAGATATCGCAATGAAACTTGGTACACGTCTTCCTTCGCAAGAAAATTAGGATGAGTTTGTAGATGGGCATAAACGGACTGCCACGCCCACAAAATGCTATTGAACGAAAACTTATTGAGTGCCAAAGATATTAAAATACAAAACTGTGATTTGACACAGCGGTTCGCAGTAGCAAGAAGTACCTGTGGGCCGAAAATCTAAATGTTAAAAACTACTATAAGCGCGATAAATCAATAAATAAATAAGCCAGATACATTAGTCTTTAAACCTTAAATGGCAGAAGAGAACTTTTTAGGAGTTGAGGTCAAAATAAGATGATGGGCGTGGCACCGCCCGCATATAGGTGAAAACCCATATCGCGGGACCTGCTCAACCGATATCAACCAATTTCGGTAGGTAATACTAGCCTGACATTTCTACATTACAGTGTGTAAATTAAAATCGAAGTCAGACAAAAGCCCATATAACAAAATTTTAAATTCCCAGTATAAAAATCAAAGGTATCGGGATAAAACTTCGACCGAATATGAATGTTGAATTCTTTCGTAATATTATTTTATATAAAGTTTTGCCCACACCTGAAGGTATTTTGCAAAAGTATAAAAGTAATATGAGTTAGTAGGTGACCTAGAAAATACTTGTCGATTTCAAGCCACATTCCTGTCCCCTTTAGACTTTCGTTTGGAACTTTAAAGTTTTAAAAAATTCTTACTCTTTGTTTCAAATGCAAATGTCAAAACAAAAGTAAAAATGCTCTTAAATCCAATTTGTAAAAATGGCAGGGCAGAAACCTAGCATGTGCTAAAAGATAAGATTTCTATATATAATAGTTATTAAATGTATGTCTAATTTGATTATGTGCGTCAATATAATTTATGGCAGTTGTTTGTTCGACTCGCACTATACGAAGTTTACAGAATAGTTGACAGCTTGTTCGAGCTTATAACTCAACCAAACATTGCCCCCATTGTTTGGTGAATCGTCAAATTATTTAAACTTATCACCAAATGGTCACTTTTTTATAATCTCATATACTTATTGTTGGATTAAACCCCAATCACGGCCCCCATGTAGTGAAAGTTTAATTTAAACTTATTATAATTATAAGTGACTCACGCATTCGCTACTCTGTGTAATTTCCGACAGGCCTCTCAGCTTTGAAGCGTCATAACTGTCTTGCGTTAATCGATAAAAGTTAAGCTAAGGATACTCAATCAAATGTATATATCTACATATACATATGTGTAAATATGAACATATAAAAAAATTGCCAAATTTGTTGGTATCTATAAACCTTTAACAATAGCTATGAAGATAATTGTTATGGCAAACTGATTTGAAATTGCGGCTGCTCATTTGACCGAAAGAACTCGCGAAGTAAACGACTTGACATTATGCAAACGATGATTTTCACAATTTTGATTTTGGCACTCATTGGCACAACAACGGTAAAAACAAAAGTTTTTAAGCATATATACAAACAATAACATATTATATAACATTTCAGGCTGTACCACCGTTTGCTGTCGCTCAGGCCGAGGCAAATGAAGACGTAATCTATTTACTGGGTCCAAATACGATTTCATGGGGTTCTGCTGACCCCGAAATCACATCGCAATGTTTCACTTACTACATGCCACTCTTAAATCAAATTACGCTGAACTTTTCGGTGCAATATGAGCTATGTGTTACTGTGGCCTCACAAGCAATAACCAAGCTCTCTGCTTCAGCAGCGCAGAATCGTGCAAATTTCGTAAATGAGACGACCAACATTTGCAGTGCTTTCACTTCGTGTAACAGTGAGAACAATAATTTAGACTTTCTCAATTGCTATGCCATAGCTGTAAGTATTTTTGAACAATACTAGCCATTTTTATTCTAACTAGAATATCCTTTTTGCGACTAGTTATCTGCTGATATCAGCGAAAGCTATAATCTGTCGGGCAGCGCTTTAAATGCAGCTATATCATTGAAGGGTGGTCTGCAGCAAATCAAGTATACTGAACAAATCTGCAAAAATGAGGCCCAACAGGCATACTCAACACAGACCTCGAAAACTTATAAGGAATTATATGCCTGCTTCGCTAATGGATTGCCAATCGCTAGTACTATTAAAGCCTCAGCTAGCACATGAAGTCTATATAAGAAACTGTTCAGTACTTATTGCTATCCAAAATTGGTTTTTATTCAATTCCACTTTGAATATGAATTAAATGAATTCAGTTTTGAGAATGAAAAAATTCTGTAACACTAAAACTAGCACATTTTGTTTGGAAGAAATTCTCTCTATGAAAGAACAGGAAGGTACAATAATTCGATATATCTGCTCACCATATGTCGGCTAACATACATATTACAGCTGGAAGGCCAATGCATATAGTATACTATTTAGTAATACTTGTAGGAATTGGATACTAACAACACTTGAAAAAGTCCAAATTGACGCTGTTGCAGGAAGTGAAAGCACTGCAATTAGATGGAGGTCTCATTCAAGAAAGTTGCACGATATGCACATTCGATAGCAAGCTCAAGATCAGCAAAGACTTCCAACAAATTGGATGCGTTGAGCAAACTGAGGATCCCAGTGACCGGTATAACCTGGGGTATTAAAATTTTCTATATTTCTTTATGGAAAAACGCAATTTGTCTTATATTTGAACTATCTACTGCGGCGGCAATGAAGACCAAGGGTGAGACCAAAATGATCACATTTAAATAAGTTTTTTTTTAAAAATTTGCTAAAAGGTGAAGTTTGACTAACACATTAGTTCTATTTACATACACCTAACCGTGTTTTATTTTTAGAGATTACATTGGTTTCACGGCTTCGAAAAGAAATCAATTATAGTCTCTTGTAATTCTATAACATCTCTAGAATATAGTTCTGTATTCTCAAGTTGATACCAGTAATAGTTTTGGAGATACAGCTTGAAAAGTTGCGAGCTCGAGGTCAGCTATATAGTCACTTAAAAATTTAAGCGCGTTTTTCTCAAATCGGTTATTAAGACTTCTCACAAGCTACTCAACTGATCTTAATGAAATTTAACACAGGTATTTGAGATATAATTTGCAAGTCTTGCCGCGGAGAAATTTTTTTGTTCAATTACAACTATTTCAGAAACAAAAAACGTCGAGAAATTTTCACCAAAATTTGCACGTGTTTGTAAAATCGTCTACCAAAAATACAATTTTCCCTCTTTTCATTTTTGCTCGTTCCAATACCTAGTTAATGGTCTTAATTCAAACACGTATTTTTATACTCTCGCAACCTGTTGCTACACAGTATAATAGTTTTGTTCACCTAACGGTTGTTTGTATCACCTAAATGATCAGGATGAAGAGACGAGTTGAAATCCGGGTGACTGTCTGTCCGTCCGTCCGTCCGTCCGTGCAAGCTCTAACTTGAGTAAAAATTGAGATATCTTTATGAAACTTGGTAGACATGTTTCTCGGTACCGTGAGACGGTTGGTATTGCAGATGGGCGTAATCGGACCACTTCCACGCCCACAAAACGCCATTAATCAAAAACAAATAACTTGCCATAACTAAGCTCCGCAATAAGATACAAGACTGCTAATTGGTACACAGGATCACGTTAGGGAGGGGCATCTGCAGTTAAAACTTTTTTTTAAAAAGTGGACGTGGTCCCGCCTCTAATAGGTTTAATGTGCATATCTCCTAAACCGCTAATGCTATAATAACAACTAGAAGCAAATGTTTTTAGCACTTCTATTGACGGTGTGAAAATAGTTGAAATCGGGTGGCAACTCCGCCCACTCCCCATATAACGGTACTGTTAAAAACTACTAAAAGCGCGATAAATCCAGCAATAAACACGCCAGAGACATTACATTTTATCTCTGGGATGGTTTGAGATAACTTGATAGGAACCGCGTTCAAAATTAGACAGTGGGCGTGGCACAGCCCACTTTTAGGTGAAAACCCATATCTTGGGATCTGCTTAACCGATTTCAACCAAATTCGGTGCATAACGTTCTTTTCATATTTCTATGTTATAGTGCGAAAATGGGCGAAATCGGACTACAACCGCGCCTTTTTCTCATATAACACCATTTTCAAATCCATCATATCAAGCAATAATGATTATATGGGGGTAAAACTTTGCGTGAATAATACGTTTAAAGTATGCCACCTTGTGACCAAAAATTGTCTAAATCGACCCAAAACTGTTCAAGCCCCTAAGTACTAAATATGTGGACCCCAGTTCCTATAGTTGACCTTCTACCGAAAATATCAGCCAATCCACAAAGAAATCTCAAACGAGTATACCATTTGACTTTGCGAGAGTATAAAATGTTCGGTTACATCCGAACTTAGCCCTTCCTTACTTGTTTCTTTTTACTTTTGATGATCCTGTTAGAAATTCTGCTGTCAACGCGGAAGCACCGCTTTTCCGAGGGTCTGCTGGAAATGACGTCGTAATGACTGAGTTTTGAATATTTTCTTTTGAGAATTTCACCAAATCTTTATCAAGTATATATCTAATAATAATAAGTTTGTATAAAATATTTAATTTTTTATATTAAAAAAAAAAAATTATTGAAAATAGAACGTTTTTTGCTCGACAAAACTCAAGTCACCCCTTAAATAATGATGTAATTTTTTAAATAAATAATATTTGGAACTTGGAACTACTCACAATAGAAGATTAACCAGTATCTTCTAATAATTTAAGGCACGAAACCTTGGTGTAATACTACGGCAGCTTGAATTTGTAATTAATATGGTAAGTTTATATATTATATAAGAATATTCCAAAGTTCAGAACGACTAGACGAATTCCTCATTGATAGCTATTAATCCGTTCTTATTTCTTAAAAATATTATAAAACTGATAATTAGTACTATGGCTTCGTTGCAGCCGAAGTTCACGTTTTTTCTTATTTTCTTGAGAATTTATATCCCACTTGCTCAACATCTGTTACTCAACGTTAAGACTTGGAAATCCACAGGCCTAACGATTTCAATCCCAGTTAATTTTGATCAGATGATAAAATTATGTTATATATATTAAATATCATATATGTAACTCATTAGACGTATTAAAGGTGTAAGCTTCTAATAAGCAAAAGTGAATCATACATGTCTGGCTTTCTGGCTAAGCATGGGGGGGAAGTCTTTAAGAACGTCACGCTTTAATAGCAGCATTAACTGATAAGGGAAGCCAAACAACACTCAATCAAAATTATCTGAAAAGCATAATGCAATTAGATACACATAGACAAAACAATAATATGTAGAATGCGATTGTGAAGACGATTGGTATAAAAGAGAGCATTAAAACTTCGAAAACTCATTATTTTACAAGTAAATGGAAAGTAAAGAAGGCAAACATATGCAAACTATAGCATTAGCAATTTTCTCGTTGGCCCTCATAGGTACCACATTGGTAAGTAAAAATATAAGCAGAATTACTTTCTCACTTCTTAAAATAAATGAAATTCTAACTCCACAGGCTGTGCCCTTTACCTACGTTGCCAAAGCTAAGGCTGATAATAATATACTAAACATGCTCGCCGAATCCAATATGTTGAGTGGCTCGGCTGAGCCTGAAATCACTATCGAATGTTTCAACCATTTTATTCCGATCTTAAATCAAATTTCAACCAACTTCTCGGTGCAATATGAACAGTGTGTAACCGTGGCTACACAAGCTGAAGCGAATCTCTCTACCTCAGCTGCACAGAATCGTGCAACTTTCGTTAATGAGACCTCTGCTATTTGCAGTGCTTTCACTTCCTGCAACAGTGACAGCGACAATTTGAACTTCTTCGACTGTTATGCCACAGCTGTAAGACTTTTGGAAAATTATAACTCGTTTTTGTACTGATTAAAATACTCTCCTTTCCATCAGGCTTCTACTGATGTCAATGAGATCTACAATCTGTCAAAAGATGCTGCCAATGCAGCCATTTCTCTTAAAGGTGGATTGCAACTAATTACGGATACTGAGGAAATCTGCACCAATAACGCTCAACTTGCATATGCTGCGCAGACCTCTGAGACCTATAAAGAATTGAATGCTTGTTTTGTCAATGGCTTGTGAGCCGCTAGCACCGTTACTGCTAATTAAGCCAGTACACAAGTTTTAATCTAAAAAATATTAAAAGTACTGCAGATGGGAAATTAATAATAAAAAACAATAAAAGTTCCAATTTTGTTGTTCATATACTAGTACATAGGCGCACGCACACATAACACCACTCATATATTAAACATAATCAATATTTTATTAGTGGTATACTTTTAGGCACTGCAACAGTCACTTACAAATGAAAAGCCGTAAAATTAAGAATGAAAGAAAATTTCTTTGTTTCGCTTATTTGTTATCTATAGCTATAGCTATAACTAGCGGCGAAAACTGGCAGCAAATTGCTGCATATGTAGAACATGTACTACGCAATAACAAAATCGACATAGACGCGGACCCCCGGATGAATTCCACTGAATAAAAGAAAGTCAGCCTGATGCTGGCTACAAAATTGTAGGCGTCCCTGGACTTAAGTAATGCAAAAGCTGTCCCGGAGCAAAGGAAAAATCCATGATAGAAAAGGGGAGTATTCAAGTGGGTACACCACTCACGTAGGATGACGATCTCTATATGGTGGGAAGGCATTTTCAACACTCCTTGCGGCCTAAGCAAAAACAAAACAAAACTAATCCTTTAGCTAGACCGGCCCTACTTTTTATATAATATACATGAGTCATGAATTTATGATCTTCATGATGCAGATAATCCATTTCGATACATATGTGGAAGATTTAATCGCTAACGAGAAGTTATTTATTAATTTCTTAAGTCTCGTTGGAAAATTAACCTTTGCCGCGACTGTAAGCATCACTTTAAAATCATTTCATGACATCACATCAGTTCATACATATATGGTATATCCTATTTTTAGCGACTATAACAACTACAAGCGCGGTGGCACATATGGAACGATCTTAAATTAAAAGTGGACAAATATTAGCTTGGGTAAGAACTGAAGCAGCTCGACCTTCCCAAGCGACAGCGCTTCGCTCTATGGGATTCCGAAAACCTCCAAGAATATCCAACGTTTTTGTGTCCAATTTTGTTCAGCGGAAAACAAAATCCACAAAAAAAAAAGATTTGGTGTGGTTTGTGGGCCAGTGGAATAATAGGTTCATATTTGAAATTTAAGCACGTGATCTCGGCGACATCTGCTTTCGACGAGATGGCGCCACCTCCCAACCATCGCAAATCAATGGATTTATTGAGAGAACACCTCGGTGAGTAGATAATTTCACGTTTTAAGCCGGTCGATTGGCCATCGAGATCGTATGCCGTTTAACTTTTTTCTGTGGAGATGTGTAAAGTCTAAATTCTATGCGGACAATCTCGCTTCGATTCAAGCCTTAACCGAGTCATCGAAAATAATATTCAAAAAATAAATGCCAAAGGCTGTTCTTTCGAATGATAATCAACACTCCCGATTAAATAAAACTTTTCTGTGGAAACCTCAAAATGGATCACCCTATATAAGTTGCAAATACTTATATCGGATAATTGTATATCGTTAACGGTGGATTTGTGGTTGCGATTTTTTTCCACTTTCTATTGTGTTTGGACATTGCTGTTGCACAATTACACTTACGTTTTTAACGCAAATTTAATTTCAAGTATTGTTTATAAAAAAAAAACACATTGAAGTGGAAATAAATTTTGATAGCATACGTTTTATTTTGGTGAGTTAGAAATTTTTAGATTAATTTCAAGAGCATTATGTGATAGTTACTTTAAAAAAAAAAAAATTTCAAGGTCAATTTAACGTAGTTGCTTGAATCGACAATGTCAACAACAACGAAATAGAAAGGGATTTTTTTCTAAATTTCAAGTGCATTTTTTGATAGTGAAATTTTTTGCCATTTTTTTCCAACTTTAATTAGTTGGTTTAATTAACAGCACTTCACTTCGAGAGATAATTTTTCCGTGTGTTTTGACGATCTCCCATTACTTCCTTGTTTGGTAGGCGATATTTATTGCTAAGCAGGCATTCATTCAATTATTTAAATTTTTTTTTTGGAAGTATAGTGTCGTCGATTTCAGGACTTACCATAAATCACTTTCAGGGAGAGTACAGTGACAAAGAAATAGAGAAAATTTGCAATTGCGTAGAGCACAAAATGTAATTAATACTAAAAATTTAAATTTAATCGAAGCTTTTGATAATGTTGATAATAATTCAGTTCACATTTTGTTCAAATTCTTCAATAAAATTGTTTTTCTATTGGTGGAGTTTCGACCACTTGCGACCTTAGCGCTTACAGTTATATAAGACTTTTATTTGTGTAATAGACCTTTAAATGTGATATTATATCACGTCATATGAAATGAAATCAAGTGATATATTTAAGTATGGTACACCACATATCGCAACATTTATGTAGAAAAGTATCACTTCGTTAAAAATACATCAAATGATTTACCATATCACATGATGTCATATACAAAATTGTAATTCTTTATATAATTTGCTGAAATTTGCTAAAATAAAAGTAAAGTGTCACATGTCTTTAATCAGACCATCAAATATATATTTCCTACATTTTACCGCCTTTAATCGTGTATTAGTACAGGGTGGCTCATGAATCGTGCTACAAAAACAAATCGTAATAACCTTTTTTAATCAACGCATTACATTTATTTTGCTTTTATTATATAGTTTTTTACATAATTATATTAATTAATTATTTTTAAAATTATGGACCGTAAATGACGTCCATGCTCAGCCACGCATATGCGACACCTATTAAGAAAATTATTTATTGCGGCCTGAAGGGTTGAAGTCGGGATTGCCCGAATTATCGATTTAATGGACTGCTTAAATTCAGTCAGATTGCTGGATTTTATTTTGTACACCTCTGGCTTGGCATAATCCCATAAAAAAGTCTGGTACAGTCAGGTCAGATACCTTAGGTGCCAGCGCAATGTAAAGTTAATTTGTTTTCAAATTTTCATTGGAGTTCCGCAGTAACCGTTCTGGCTATGTGTACAGTTGCTTCACCTTGCTTCGACGCAGTTCTGGGTAAAAAAACATATTCAACATTTTTCAATAACGATGTCCATTGACAGTTACTGTTACACCGTTTTCTTCAAAAAAGTATGCTCCGAAAATACACCTTGATGAAACTGCGCACCACACAGTGACTTTTTCTGGGTAAAGTGCCGTCTCGCAGATTATTTCTGGATTTGATTCACTCCATATACGGCAATTTTGATTGTTTACATTGTAAAATTCCAGGTAAATAGGCAAATTTAGTGGGTTTAGCTTGTTATTTGAACTTTGTACGGAAACAGGTTTACGTCATCTTGAATTATCCATTGTAATGACCGTCTGCTAACTTCAAGTTACGCATGTGTGCGAGTCGAAACTCTTGGATTTGCCTGAATTGACGGTGCAACAGCCGCGATTGTTTCTTAAACACGAATATAAAGATATCGATGATACAGTCTTCTTGCGATACTTCAAAATTCGGCAAACATGTGTACCAACCTCATAATGGTACATCTACTGAAAGGAATGCCACCAAAATCCCGTCTGAACTCCCTTGATTTGGACGGAAATGAGCGGCTGTAAAGCATGATACCGCTGCACTATCCAAACCCTCTTTTCGGTATCTCAAGTATTCACTTTTAAAAAATTTAAATAATAACCTGCCAAATAAAAAAAAGTAAATCAAACACTCACACAGAAAAAAAGTTATTACGGTTTGTTTTTGTAGCACTTTCTTTAATTATACGCTGATAACCACAAAAGAGTATTGCTAAAAAATTTCTAAAAGTGACGAAATAATCACATAAAATTTCACTTCTATTAACAGTCGCTTGAGTCACTTACTTCGCTTGAGTCACTTATTCGGACAAAAGTTGGAAAATCCCCAACCTAAATGGCAGCAAAAAAAATCAGCAGGTACAAATATAGATGAGAAAAGAAGTGGTTTTCAATGATAAAATCATCAAGCACTTAGGCAATGACAAGTAAATTTGAACTTAATAGAAATGTATAGCAGTTATCTAAACTAATTTAGTACACATTTGTTTATATTCACATAACATAAGTAGTTCCTGGTAATTTAAGTAGCTAATGCCTTGTGCGTATTTTTATAATGTATAGTGTAATGTAGTTGCGACACTTATAATTGTTAAAGACCCTTCGGGAGAAAACGCTCTTTAAAATCTTTCGGTGTTTCTTATGCCTTGGGGCTTTTCATACGCTTTTTTTTCTTTATAATTACAATTTACAGTTTGAGATTTAACGTAACAATAAGAAGAAAAAATTTGCCACACAAAAAAATTCTAAACATCAAATCAATAACTTTTGAAAAATTTAATTGTGATTCGTATTTATGTTCGACATTGTCATCTAAGGGTTAATAAAGCGAGATTGTAAGAACGCAAGCTCTTTGGCCTACAAATCCAAAACAAAACAAAATTTTTTGTTAAGAATGCCAAAATCTAACTCAAATACAATAAAAGTATTAAGCCATAAACTTTCTTAATACGTGTTTTTTATATGGACTCCTTCTAAGAAATATTGAGTGCACAAACAAAGCAAAGGCTTTTGTTTACATCAATTTGCAACAATTCGAAATTTTTTAATTTTATTAGAAAAGCAACTTCAGTACCCTTAAAGCTTTACCGTTAAATAAAAACCCTTTAGAGCGAAAGTTTTATTTATTTCAGTTGTTCCTAGAAGATATAAGCACCAAATTATTAAGATGGCAAATTATTATTTGAGCTTTAAAGCTTTTCCCTAAACTGCTTAAGTATAAATTTCTTAATATTTTTGAATTTACTTGATATATTTATATGTAAGCTCTCAAAAAGCTCGTTCTAAAATACGTATGCAATCTGATGGTTGCTAAATTATTCGGAACTTTTTTGTTGATAATAATAATTTCGGCATTTCAAATTGTTATATTAACTTTTAAGCATAGATTTTGAGATTATGTGAAAAAGATGGAAATGTTAATATTTTTATTACCAACAACTTTGCCATATAATTTTTTTCTATAGGGCTCGTAGTTTTGCCGGAAATCGAACTAAACGGTTTTTAACTCTTTAAAATTCAACCACGTTACTCTTTCCGACTTCATCCAATTATAATTTTTTTTTTTGGTTTCAAAAATTATATACCCCGGTCTAATAAAATTTAAAGGTATTACAATTTTTATTACCTAGGAATATTTTAACAGCGATTATTTTAAATAATTTAAAAAGTAAGTTAATTATTTTTACTAATAATGGTAAAAAGGTTTTGAGCTTTCCAACAAGGTACATCACCCACATACACATGCGTGCAAAACCGCAATGTTTACATTAGAGAGTCGCTTGAGATACAACTTCTTAGAAGGGAAAATTTTTTTTAATCAATGGAGGAAATTATAAAAAGATATAAATATATACGAGTGAATATACGATTATTATTTTTATGTTCAACAAAATGTTTATATATATATATTCGACGATATAAATGTGATCACAAAGTATGCGGAATATATGAGGAGAGCTACTCGAAATACGCAAATCAAAAGGTAAGCAAATACGCAATAAACACTCATAACGGTGAGCATCCAACAGTTGTAGGTGTGAGTGTATGTGCGCTAGTTTATCAAATGCTAATTGAAACGTGCATACGAAGGAATCAGAATACCCAACGTACATGCCTTACATATGTTAGAAATTATCAGATGCCACCGCACTCCACTTTCAAGATAAGGAACTCTTAAGAGGCCTACTAAGCATTTCTCGCAAATATTAATATAAAGTAGTTGTGACACTTTCCGAATTCAGTTAAACGCACAATAGCGCACGGTACAGCAAAAGCAAAGTTAATCGAGTGGCCTGAAAGGATTTTAAGAATAGTGGAATAAAATAAAATAGAACAGAAATATGTTCAAAATCGTATTGTGTGTACTCAGCACCATCCTGGTGGCGGAGGTAAGTGATTTTTTTCTTTGTGTTAAAAAGATAATTTTTGTAAAAAAAAAAAATTTATTTAAATACTTATATTTAAATATTTGCAATTGTTTTCAAACTTTGTAATACTATTAATTTTTATTAATATTTTTTATAACTTTTAAATTTTTATGATATTTTTGTTTTCAATATTTTAAAATTGTGTTAAATTTTTTAAATTTATTTTTTAATTTTTTAAATTTATTTTTTAATTTTTTAAATTTTTTTTTTTAAATTTTAGTTTTATATAATTTTTTTTATTAATTTCTTTGTATTTTTATACCCTGCACAGGGTACATTAAGTTTGCCACGAAGTTTGTAACACCCAGAAGGAAACGTCGGAGAGTCTATAAAATATATACCTAAATCATCAAAATGATGAGCTGAGTTGATTTAGTCATGTCCGTCTGTCTGTCTGTATATATACGATTTAGTCTCTCAGTTTTTAAGCTATCGATTTGAAATTGTGCACCTGTTCTTTCCTCACTAAGAACCTGCTCATTTGTTAGAACAGAATTTGACGAGATATCTTCAAGAAATTTTTTCTTGCTTTGTTTTATTAAATTTTTCTTAATTTTTTTTAAATAACTTTTAAAATTTTTGTTACATTTATTTTTTAATATTTGAAATTTTTTTTTTAATGTTTGTTAATTTCTTATTTTGGTTTAAAAATATTTTTTTTACAATTCTTTATAATACTTTTATAGTGTGCGGTCCCCAGCCGCATTTCAGCTCGTGCTGATATCGCTTTGGGCAACTTTCTGCTGGCCCAACAAGGACGCGCCACAACACCGACATCAATGCAATGTTTCACCCTTTATGTACCGCTACTGAACGAAGCAACCAACCAGTGGGCGATAGAATATGAGAGATGCGTGCAAGCGGCAGAAGATGGTCGTGATAATATTTTGGCACAGGCGAGTACACTCCAAAGTGGCATCTCTAATTTAGCAGCTGGTGTTTGTGGTTATGTGCAATCGTGTAATGTGATCAATAATTCATTGTCGGCACTCGACTGTTTCGGATATTTGGTGAGTGGAAAGCAAGATTTTTTATAATTATATAATAAAAAACATAATCATTAATATTTTCTACTTGTATATATAATTTATTGCAGTCTTCAAACACAGTGTCCACCATTTACGTCGTCTCTAATAATGCTTCCGATGTGGCAGCAGATTTACGGCAGCAAATCAATTTTGTTGACGTCGAGTCCTATCGTTGCTCAAACGCGAGTGAACGTCAGTATGTGGAGCGCACTGGACAAATCTACACCGCGCTTAATTATTGTTTAGAAAATGGTCCACCACCAACAATACCACCACCCACCACCACTACAGTCAGCCCCTCTCTATCGTCCGCTGACGTAAATGATATACAACTGATTTCTGCTCCTCGTCGTACGCCCTTGGGTGTTTTGAACAGTCAGCCTCGGACGGCTGCTGCTGCTCATCCTGCGCCGAGGAGTAATTTAATTTCCATTTTCAATAATTGGTTGCATCAAAATGGCAATCAAGAGGCTCAAAATGTGTAAAATGTTAATGTAAAATAGTCCTACAAGAAAATCTGTTATAATAAATATATTATTTTATAAATATATATAATACATCTATATTTAAACATATATGGAAGATTTATTTGTATCTTTCCAAAATTTTGGTTAGATTACATCATTACATTATAACTCCTTTTTCTCAAAGAATTTAAAACTTTTATTTTAATATATTTAGAAACTAGTTTGGTATTGAAGTGTCCGGAAAGTGCAGTCGTTCAAAAGATGTCGATATATATACCCCCCGTAGCTTAAAATGTATTTTGTTTTCAAGTTGATTGTACGAGATATTGTCACTTCTATCGGTCAAACACAAAATATTAAATTTTTAACGCGAGGAAATAAAAAGTGAAGTGAGAAAAAAAAGCGATATAAAAAATAAATAAATAAATGGAAATATACAGGAGACACCATAAATAAAATTCAGCTGTCTCTCTTATTGATCTATAAAATTTGCTCCCGCTTAGTTGAAAATTTCATATTTGAGCATTTTTTACTTTCGAGTTAAAGTATAGGAAGTTCCGATTTTCTGCAAGTTTACCTTAGCAATATCCTCTATGCCGGTCGTCACTTCTTTGTTTCGTCCAGATTTCTCTTTTATACTACCGCTACTAGTTTATATCGAAATATGCGAGTATGATATTCATATATACAAATACTGTGAGAACAGCAGAATTTATGACGATTCAGTCAACGCGAGTTAATCCGCACATTACAAAGTTTGGAGTTGATACTTCATGGTGACGTTTTTATGTTATATAATAAATCTAAGACAGCACTATTTGACGACAGTTATATGTTGGTGCCGGTTCACACGCGCACCCCTTTTTGTCACTAAAGCCGGTATTTTAAAGCGAGGGGACGACAAAAAAGGGACCGTGCCACTCGTGCTCGGGTTTATATTCGTAACAGCTGGCTGCTACGCAATTCGACATTTTGAAATTCCTTTCATGGTTGCAATAGCGCTCGGTTTCAAATCAATATTCACTTGTCTGAACGTCGCTATTGTAAACGCGACACCAACAAAGAAGTTGCCGATAATGAGCGACAAAAGAGTACTCGTCTGAACGCCGTTCAAAGGTTCCATAATGTACGACGTTATCATCGTCATCGTAACAATCAGTAATGAATGGAGGTGCGAGAGAGAGCGAGATGAAGCTAACCATTAATGTGATGATAGAACCATAGACCCTATAAAGTATATATAATACTATATGTATATGGTAAATGATTAGCCTAACGTGCTGAGTCGATTTAACCATGTCCATCTGTATGTCTGTATATACGCAAACTAGTCCTTCATTTCTTAAGATATCGTTTTGAAATTAAGCCGACAAGCTGATATTGGACCACTATAGGATATAGCTACCATACAAAAATACCGATCAAAATCGGCCTATAGATCTTCATTGAAGACCATTTTAACTTATTAGGTAGCCTTCTGGTGCGTAAGCTCATTTATAATCCTAACTTAGAAGGTTGCAAAAAACGTTCTTCCCAAAATTAAACATATTCTTCACATCTAACTGAAAATCTTCTCATTCAGAAGACATTTACACCAGAATCATCCAGTTTTACCTATTATTTATATGATATGGTAAGATGAGATTGTAATAAAGTTTATGAAAAAAATATAGAATCATGGTTGAAAAATGCATTAAAAAGCAATTGAACTAACATTTGAATTTTTTGTTTTGTAATCCCGACATTTAATTAAAAATTATTTTCAAATTTCTAGTTCCAAATACCGGATTATAAAATAAAAAAATTTAATACCAAAATTTGGATTCAAAATTTTATTTTTAAATACCGGATTGAAAAATAAAAAAATGTTAATGCCAAACTTTTAATTAAATATTAAAAAAACTAAATATTTTACTATAAAAATATTTTCACGATTTCATACTTCGTGTTCCATAATTTTTGTATAATTTAGCAGTCTTTGCCTTGCTTACATTTAATTACTTTTAATTAAAGGCTTTCGTTACAAATATGTAAATCTCTTCTTTTTATCCCTTTTCATTTCAGCTTTTAATTTAAAACAGAATTTTTTTATTATTTACTCCAGTTTTAAGTTTAAAAAATAATTTTCTCCTAATTCCGATTTTTGATTAAAAACTAAATTTTAAATAGTCTATTTTCCATCCTCAAAATTTTTAATTATAAAATTCGCAACCTTGTGCAGAGATATAATTCTTGTTACGCTTACCATTAATTCTAATCTTTTGCCAAGCTTCAAATTTTTTTTCTGGCACAATTCTAACTCAAAGCATTGATACTTTATCAGCACATCTTCTGATGCTGCTATCCATTTTTTTTACACTTTATTATTTACCTTAGTATACACGTATGTATGATTAGCATATCATACTCTCTCCTCTTTAACATATTTTTATATAGAAATTCTGCCCAACACGTTTAGCAAAAAATTTCAGGCATAAAAGTTTGCTTAAAACAACAGTTCAGTTTCGTTTAATACGTAAAAAAAATAAATAAAAGTGTATTGTGTTATTGTTGTTGTTAAAACTAAGCTTAAATCAATTAAAAATGTTATTGTACCACAATTATATTAGAGCTTTTTCCTTCCTTACTTATACAAAATAGATAATTTTAGTTAAAACGCATTTCAAGTTGCTTTTAAACATTTCGACAGCTTTAGAAACGCTTTACTAGACAAATCCACATATTCCTGCTCGGCAGAGATAATACATAATAGAATCTCCTTTTCCGCTTCTTCATATTTGTGTTCCAATTCCACGGTGGCGGCGGTTGAATTCAAATAAACTTGCTGCATTGTGTTCACACCTTTGTAGGACTGTTTTGAATATGTTTAGAAAATATAGTAGAAAATTTTAAATAAGTTGAAAAAAAAATTAAATTTAAAACAATTTTTAATTATTGTAGATACATTTTTTTAATGTTTTCTATAATTAATATTATGTTTGCAAGAAAAACTGATTCAACCTGGACACTTACATAATAATCAAATGAAATTTAAACGTTTTTTAATACAAATCTTTATTATAGTCTTTAGCGATCAGCGAGAGAGAAAATAGAAAAACTAATCTAAGCACAAACCTTTATTTTCTAAATTATCTTTAATATCTATACGACTAGTTGGAATTATGGCGCCCTTGGACCTTTATGTCTACACCCGTTGTATAGACTGGGGTGCAGATAGCTTATGAAATTGTTGATAGACAAGATTTTACCGCATAGGCATAAAAATGTTACTGTCACATGTAAATTATTTTATTATCAGCTAAAGAATTAGGGATTATTAAAGCGTTTAAGAAAGTAGGTAAATTTATGTCATAGGTGTACAAAAGAATATGTAAACTAGAGATTATGTGCCACTTATACATCTAAAACATTAAGGTGTATTTGCACTGCTTTCTTGTTGTTGCAGAAATGAACAACAAAAGTTTATTCATGTTAAGTATTATTGTATTAGCTTATCACTATGCTTGAGTTCATCGAATTATATTTGCCGTTATTTTTAAATAAATTATTGGAATTATAATAGATATGCAAGTATTTAAGTACATAAAAGCGAATTATTTATAATTTCATAAGCCTTTGTACTCATATATATAAGTTTGCTAATTGATTTTTACGTAAATATCAAAAGAAATGTTTAACCACTCCTTCCAATATATAAGAAATCAAAAAGTAAAGAAGATAATATTTTATATGCAACATTACACTCCGGTTTCGGTTTGGTCGGTATAAAATTACGCTTGCCACTAAGTGATCGATGCAATAGATTTTGTCAATATTAACTTTACAATTATTTGTAGATTAATACAATAATCATATGTAACTGTAAGCTCCAAGATATAAACTGTAATTGTTAAAAATGACAAGAGCTTATAAAATAATATTTATTACTACAAAAACAACACGTTGAGCGTGAGCGAGCGTGTAGTCTTGTTGACTTAAAAGTTGCTTATAACAAATAAAAATAAATTAAAAATAAATAGATAATTATAAGCGAATAATTGACTAGGAAAATTTATTTTAGAATATCTTAACTTGTCAGAATGGATTTGGTTACTTCCTATCCTATCGGACATTCTTGAACGATTTTTAGTAACGTAATAGAACAAAGAGTACATTTAGCTTTCCAAACTGTTAAGATGACCAAAATTAAGCTTAGGGTCCAAGTCACTTCTAAATCAACAAATCTTGTTCTAGACTACAGTTTTTTACTACAATACATATTGAAATTGGAAAAGTTCATCGTCTTACTTTTTTTTTAATATTCAGTGGCATATTTTTTCAATGCCATATTTTTTCATGCCACCAAATAATCAAATGATTTATGTCACTCGTTGTACTCTATTGTTGAGGTAAGAAGATACTCACTGAAGAAATCTTGGCTAAAAACCGAGAAGATCAAGTTTTTGCAAAAGAGCTTTATCTAAAGATTTGCTAAAGTCGGTTTATGGATCATACTGATGATATTCTCTTAAAAATTATTCTCTCAAAACAATACTGATACATTATTCACAAATTGAAAGAATTTTGTTAATGTAGATTTTCCTTTATGAAATGCGTTCTTAATATTTGAACACAATACACTGTCTATAACAAATATAAATACCAAGTCAAGCCAAACTAATTAAGTTTTCAATAACAACTGATAAATTCACATAATCTACTTTTTTAAAGACTTTTTTTTACTTCTGCTCATAAATTTGGTAGCCACTGTTTTCTACTGTACTCCACAAAAATAAACATAAACAAGACATTCTCTCTATGAGAAACAAAGGTCTTGTATGACCGTCTCTCTGGAGGTGAATATGATTCACTTACATGATTTTCTATAATTTAGAATTATCTTCTAAGCATATACATATTTTATGATTTTTTCCGAAATTTTAAAACAGGTTCGTTCAGCTCTTCCAGAGCTTTGCGAATAGAAAAAACATTTTTCCAAATAAATTGGTATAAATTCTGTTCAACCTCTTAAAAAATCATATTATGTATCGTGTTATTTTCAATATCTATAATTTCTAATAATTTCTGTAAAACAAATTGTTATAATTG